AGTTGCCCAGATGGGTCTCGAACCCGCGGGCTCAGGCAATCCACTCACCTCAGCCTCCCAAAGTGTGGGATTACAGGCTGAGCCACCGAGCCCAGTATAGAGTGTGATTTTAAGAGGGACTGACTGCAGACAAATATGGGGAAGTAGAAGGCACCAGAAGGCCCTTTTGCAGGTAAGGGCTCTCAGGTTTCACAGCAGGGAGAACAGAGCTGGTGCCCATGACCCCTCTGTGTCCCGACAGACCTGTCTGATTTCCAGCTGCCTTCCCTGAGATTCAAAGGCCCAGCAGGAGTCTGTCTCCACGGACTGTGCCCCACCCCCTCCCAAGGTCTCGCTGCCCAGGCGGGTCTCGAACCTGCAGGTTCAGGCAATCCACTCACCTCAGCCTCCCAAAGGCGCGGGATTACAGGCTGAGCCACCGAGCCCGGCTACCTGCAGGGTTTATCAGCTAGCAATTCCATTTCTCCTGGCTGGGTTTCTTTCAGCTTTGTAAACTAGTTTTTTTTGTTTTTTGTTTTTTTTTAAGTAGGTGTCTCACTCTGTCACCTGGCTGGAGTTCAGTGGCATGTTCATGGCCACCACAGCCTCAACCTGCTGGGCTCAGGCAATCCTTCCACCTAAGCCTTCCAAGTAGCTAGAACCACAGACATGCACCACCATGTCTGGCTAATTCTTTTTTTTTAATTATAAAGACTAGGTCTCCCCAAGTTGCCCAGGCTGGTCTCAAATCCCTGGGCTTGGGCAGTCCTCTTGTCTTGGCCTCTCAAAGTGCTGGGAGCCACAGGCATGAGCCACCATGCCCAACTGTAAACTAGTTTTATCTTTATGACTGACTACCTTTTACTGTACTACATTTGACCAAATGGGACATTTTGTTAATGTCTCTTCTGTCACTTAACCACAGTTTTTGTTGTTGTTTTTTTATTTTTATTTTTTTCAAGTTGGAGGTCCCACTCTGTCACCAAGGCTGGAATGCAGTGGCATGATCACAGCTCACCATAGCCTCAACCACCTGGACTCAGGCAATTTTTCTGCCTCAGTCTTCTAAGTAGCCATCGTGCCTGGCTAATTTTTTTGTCTTTTGTAGGGACAGAGTCTTACTATGTTGCCTAAGCTGGTCTCAAATTCCTGGGCTCAAGCAATCCTCCTGCCTCAGCCTCCCAAAGTGCTGGGATTATAGACATGAGCAGTGCACCTGGCCTCAACTTTAGCTTTTAAAAATTTTCCTTTTCTTTTTTTTTTTT